AGTGTGTGACTTATTAAAAAAAAAAAAAAAAAAAAAGAAAAAAAGAAAAAAATAGACTCCAGTCTCTTTATCCCAGACAGAAAGGGACTAAAAAAGCCTAACACTCACTTTTGGGGTGAGGGGACTCTGTTAGGTTCAGCCAACAAGGCTTCTCCAGGCAATTCAGGGGCGTTTTCTATCTCCTCATTCAGAGATGAGCTTTGCTGGTCTTGGGGTGAGATCTGGGGGGCTCAGAAGTTGCAGAGGGAGGTGAGAAAACTGCAGTGTTTCTCGGAAATGTGGCAGTCTTCAAGGAGACTCTCTAATATCCTTTCTTTCAGGAAAAGCCAAGACTTGGCGCAAAGGCACAGAGATTTTAAGCTGAGCTGTGGCTGGGCCAGAGCCTACCCAGAGCTCAGCCCTTGCTGCCTGTTACCACAGCTTCAAAGGCACGATTATACTGCAGGAGGCACCCTGCAGGGAAAGTGACAGCAATTAACGCCAATTTAGTGAAATACAGAGAGAATTTGAAGGTGTGGGGCAATGTCCCACTCCCTGTCGATGTCTGAGCACAAAATGAGGCCACTGCTTTCTGCAGCGTTCCCATGGGCTGGGATGATGTCCTAGATGGAGCAATGCCACCTGATGTCATCAGTGTGCAGAGAGGGGGCAGAGGTTTAGGACGGTGAGGCAGTGAAACATGAGGGTGAAAGGAGACATGCAGGGAATTAAGTGGTGCTGGCAGATTTGAAGAGGGTCATGCACGAAGGGACGAGGCTTTCCCTATGCTGTCTGACAGCTGCCTGCACTGCCCACTCAATGTCTTGGCTCCTCATAGTGTTCAGGGTATAAATAAGGAGCTGGCTCATTTCTGGGGGCCCTTCTTTTCAAGGCAGATCCTTTGTGGACCAGTTAATCAAGATGGATTCATGAGGCCCATTTCAAGTCATCAGTCTTCTTGCATTATGCATTTCCTTTGATGACTGAGCCCACAAGCAGTGGAGAGGAATATAAATGTGTAACTTGCTGACACCTCTCCCAGCAACCAAGGCAGCGAATGGGACAGTAAAACAACATTTGGCTGAAAAATATTTTCGGTTTAAGAACAGCACAAAGGACAGATGCAGCAAGGAAAACACAATGATGAAAAAACCCTTCCCAGTACTGTTCTGTTTTCTGTTTGAAGGCATGAGGTCTGTAACAGCTGCCCATATTATTTACTAGCAGCAGGACTTCTGCATGTAATCGCTTTGCGAGGTGCATTAATGCAGAGAGGAGAGTCCGCGGTATGGGCTAAAGAGCAAGTTTCCTCCTTTGAACTGAGCCTGGCTGTTGCTTGAACTGTGTGTTGCAGATGCTGTGAGTCAGAGCAGGCGTGGAGGAGGGAGGCTGTCTCAGCCCATCAGCGTGGATGGGTCCAGATTTTTGCAGTTTATTGTCAGCCTGCTAATTCGATGGCATTCAGAGAAAGCCAGGCATTTTCCAGGCATACGCGAGGCAGGAGGCTGTATTCTCTGTTTTGCCGAGATGATTTTGCAAAGTGAATTTAAATCGAAGGGACAGCTCATCCTGCTGTTGGGCACGAGGTGGGCTGGCTGACGTGGTGTCCCTTCCAGCCTGGTTTTGATGGTTCCCAGAGAGAACTGCGCCTGCAGAAGTGTTGTCTCCTCTGGAGTACCTACATCCTGGGCAGTGACCCTGTCTGGGGCCCTGGGGAGCTCCATGTTGCCTTGGGTCCTGCTCTGCCTGCTTTGCCAGGGATGCTGGAACAGTGCCTGGGCTGGGGCATGAGTTCCTGTATTCTTCCTCTTCATCCCCAGGGGACTGACAGTGCTGCACAGGGAGGTGAAGCCATGTCCGACAGACGTGTCCCAAATGGTTCAGGTCTAAAGAGCCTGAAGAAAATCACGTACCACCAAATTCCAGGGGCTCTGCTCATTTCCCTGAACAGCCCACGGTGCTCCAGGTGCGGCTGCAAAGCGAGCTTTTTCCAGTGTTCATTGGCAAATTTTTTAAAATGCTTTCAAAACCTTTCGACCACTCCATGAGACCACAAAGGTCCCATGGAGTATGCTGCTCCAGTACTGTTCACTTCTTGCTGTACTTGATTGGATGGCAAAGGGAAGCATTTCTGTGTTGGCTTTTTTTCCCAAATTGGTTGATACTAAACATACTCCTGCAAAAGCACATCTGCCACCCCTCAGTAGTGGGTTGCAGTCTTTCCTTAGTCAATTTTTAAGAATTTATTTTCTGTTTTCCAAACATGGCCAATTGAAAACTAAATAAAAGATCCCTTTTTTTATTTCAATGTGGCTATAGTTAGTACAAGGTGACAGATGATTGATGACTTCTTTACTTGCAAATATTGTAATTCTCCTGTTCTCCTGTTTCCTACAAGCACTGACTGATATTCCAGAAAGACAGATAAGTATATTTAATTCCTGATGCCACTTTGTCAATAGAGGCATTTTCAAGAGACAGTTTGCATAACATTTGGTATTTTCTTGTTTATATGTTAACCAGCAAGAATTCATCTCTTCTGGGAATTATTTTCTAAAATATCTGATCTCTGGTATTCCCAGTTCATTGTCTCTCATGTCACCCAGACGTGCTCTGAGCAGATTTCAGTGGTGCAGTGACTAAAATTCCTTTGTAATTAGGACCGTTTGTATACTGAACTTGTACTGGGGCACATGGAGGAGGGACAACAGGTGAAAACAATTATTTCAGCAGTTGATAACAGCCAAAATGCAAAGACATATTCAAGGTTAATGACATCCTCTATGGTCCCAGCTGCCTTAAACAATTGAAAAATCTTCAGAGGTCTCTGCACTTTTTAAATAACCTGAATTTTGTCAACAATCAGTGGGAAAAAATAGTACAATCTTCGGGAATAAATAATTCCTTTTGTCTATTCAGATTGGTTTTAAATTTTGTGTAAGATGAATCCCAGTGAATATTGTTGAATGCTCACTCCAGTTTCAGAATGATTTGGTTCAGGGAAAACAGTGAAAGACAGTGTTTTCAACTGCTGCTGTGTCATCACTGGTGTCATAATCCTTTTTTGCCTTTTCCTGTTTAAACCTGCTTGTTGAGGGGGCTAAATACACCAGACATCTTACTCATACTCTGTTGTGAACTTGGACTTTTCTTCATGCCTTTGTAGGCCTTCCAAGGAGGAGCTGGTGGCACAAACTTCAAGTTGCTGTGTGGTAGTTTCTTTTGACAGATCTTGTTCCCCTGAGTACCTCCCAGGAGCAAAATGTCAGTGTAATTTGGTCCTAGCCATGAATAACCGGTTGGCAACCTGTGAGGTCCCTCTCACTGAACCTTAGGAGCTCTGCGTGTCAAAAAACACTTGGCCTGAAATGCATTAAGATGTCAGGGACAATTATCCTGCTGCATTTTCTGTCCATTAATCACAGCTCTGGCTTTCTGAAACCCCTATGCTAGCAATTACAAACAAGATTGACGTGGAATATGTACACACAAAATATTTTTTTTTTTTTTTAACCTAAATCACTGCACTTTGAAGGAAAACAATCTATTTAGAGCATCTGTACACCTATATCCAATCCTTAGCCTTGTAAGTGGGTGCAAAATTGCTTACAAAAAGCTGGAAGAAAAAGGTCTTTAAAGATATTTTTGAGTCACTTATGACTCTCTCGGTCTGATGCTGATGTGATAGGGCAGTTTAGTCTTTTCCTTGCAAGCTCTCTATTCCCAAAACAAGTTTCCATCTAACAGCTTGATCCCGGCATTGGAAGTTATTAAGCTAATTAGCTTCCTCAGCCTATTCACAGAGAGCACCATTTTGGGAACCTGACCGGTGTCTCCTGCGAATAACGTGACGGCTTTTTTAACTCACACCATCATCATGTATTTGAGAGCAATCAAGGGAGAGAAACCCAGTAGTAGGTTGAGAAAGTGGCTGCAGAGAACATGAACCAGCAGAGCAGAGGGAGGGCAGAGCTCAGACAAGCTCTTCTACTGCTCAAGCGATTGCATTGTGCACAGTCCTCTCACTCATTTTCCCGCACACATGATGGTTGCTGATGGGACCAGTGAAAATAATTGACTACATCTCTTGTGCCTGTATTCCAAAAGAAAAAGCACCAGACTTCAGTGTGTCCCACACACAGCAGCCCAAACAGGAGGGCACAGTGTCTGTTCAAGCACCCGCTTTGTGCTGGGAGGCACAGCAAGCAGTTTTGCCTAACAGCAGTGCTGAGGAGGTAGGGTAAAAGCTGGGAGACCACAAAATGACCTCTTCTCTGTATTGCTTGCAGTGTATCTCTTAATTATTTTTTTGCCTCTGACTCAACAGGAGTGACTAATTCTGCAATGCCTCCCCAGTACAAATGTGTATTTGTGCACTTGTGTTCATCATATGCAGTGGGCAAGAGGTAGGGAAGAACAATAAAGAAATGAAAGAAATTTATTCCATTAGTAATCTTAAGTCTAAAAAAGTACCCTTTTTCCTCCCAAATTAGCAAATCCTATAAACAGGCTTTTCTAATAGACAGACTCCTTTGCCAAGCTGACCAACCACTTCTTGATCTGCTGAAAGTTCATTGTTCAGGGTTTGTTTTTCCTGACCCTCTCCATTGGTGACTGAGTGCATAAAAGTTAGAGCTAGGTGAATAATTCTGCATAAAAGTTAGAGCTGGGTGAATAATTTTTTATAATACATTTTGAGAATATTGTTATTTTAATCCAAGCATTATCTGGGATCTATTTTTCCGTTATTCCGCTAGCTTTCTTGCGAATGAGCTGTTATTAATATGCCTGATTGTCTTCCCGGGTGGAAACTGCAGGATATGTCCAGCTCAGAGCCTGTGAGAAAGGCAAGTTCACCCCATGATCAGTGAAGTGATGCCTCATTTGAATTGGACCTTACCTCGCAGAGGGAAGAGATTTTTCCTAAGCTGGCTGCCATATTCAGAGATAGGCAGGATTCCTCTCATCCACCCAGAGATGTGTTCCTCTGAGGAGCTTCTCCTGTTTCTCTCCTGTACTAGGGATTCATGGACATTGACCTGACCAAATTCAAGGAAAGCGGAGCCAATGTAACTGGTTTCCAGTTGGTGAATTACACGGATGTTGTTCCCGCCAGGATCATGCAGCAGTGGAGGAATAATGATGCCAGGGAACATCCTCGTGTGGACTGGAAAAGGCCAAAGGCAAGTGGTATAAAAAACTACTTAATTTAGTGTCCATCTGGCTCAGTTCAAGTTATGCTCACTTCTTTGTGATTGCACAGGGCTCTTTAATCTCACTCTGAAAACCTGTCACTTAGTATAACTATGAACATTATCCGTTCCAGGTGCCTCAACACTGTCTAAATTTTACTGGGCAGGAGTAGCTGCCTGCTAAGAAATACACAAGTTAGTGTATTCACTCAGTCTCCCAGTTTTTAACCTCCTCAGAGCTAAGGATTAAACATCTCATAATGTTCAGTATATAAAAAGGAAAAAGCCTCATTAGCTCCTTAACCTTTGACTTGTTTACTGCATATCCAGTGATAGTAAAGTCTTTCCAGATGTTCTTTCTGAGCATTTCAAATCAGCACATACAGCAGAGGGGAAATGTGTTTTAATTCCTAACACAGAAGACCCTGAAGCTGTCAAGGGGTGGGGGTGGGGGTGTTGCTTTTTTCCTATCTGACATTTGAAAACAAATACACTTGTGACAAACACTCAGCAATAGAAATGTCAACTTTGGAAGTATTAGTTTAAGACAATTGCAAACAAATAAATCAGTAGGTAATCATAGGAAAAGGAATTAACTCTAATGGTTACCTTCAGGTCAGAGTTTTACACTAGTTTCTGTGCAAATTTCTTCTGGAATAATCCCATCTTTTGCAGATTTTTTGCACACTGAAATAGAGTTTTCTGGCCTCCCTCTGTGACCAGAAAGGGTCACTTGTTTGATTTTGTGTATCTCACATTTACACCGTATCATGTGTTCCTTAAAAGTTCAGGCCAGTGATTCTAGTTAAATGGAAAGACTCAGGTAACAGGTGAATGGCTTGTAAGGCTGAGTCCTCTCCAGGGAGTGCAATCTGAGGGCAGCTGGGCTAGAAGACCAAAAGGCAAAGCAGAGCCATCCTTAGCTCCGCATCAGGAGCTTCTCCTTCACTCTCCCATCCTCTGGGAGAGAAGGCACCAATTTTCATGAGTCAACAGCGCAGTATTGATTACAGGGAGCAAGAGACTGTTGAATTTCATAGATGGAAGGATGAAAACAGTGCAAATCATCTGAAAAGTTGCCATGAGGCAAACCAGTGTGGCACGCCTGATGTCAGTACCCCTAATGGGTAACACACAACTCCTCTTCTCTTTCTAGTACACATCGGCCCTAACATATGACGGGGTCCGGGTGATGGCTGAGGCGTTTCAGAACCTGCGGAGGCAGCGGATCGACATCTCCCGTCGTGGCAATGCTGGGGACTGCCTGGCCAACCCGGCTGTGCCCTGGGGACAAGGCATCGACATCCAGAGAGCACTGCAGCAGGTTCAAAACCCAACTGTGCATTGCAAGGACGGCTGAAAGTACCCTGTGGGTGGGGGAAGGGGGGTGGTTAGCAGCAGAAACACTCAAGCGACCCGCTCAGGATGAGGAGCTGATCCTTCCAGATAAGAGCCAGGTCTCCTACAGAGTCTAGGGGTGCATCAAGCAAACTGCTTCTCCTGGTACCACCTGACATGTCCTTGCCTTCTCCAATTTATGTTGGGAGTTCTGGGATGGAAAAAACAAAATATTATTCCATAAAATCCTGGGTCCCTATTTTTATCTTCCCCTTCCCAAGAAAGAGACCTGCTCAGACTGTATTTTTTGAAGCTCCTTCGACTCCCTGTGAACTCGGCTTCAGTTCCAGATTGCTAATGAAGCTTGAAACCATGTGAATTTTGCCTTATGTGTTGGCTGGCATCAAAATGTTCTCAAAGCCAAGATTATAGCTTGTTTCGTACTGTGAGGATCCATAAAAGTCTTAATAACAGCCATTTAGATATCTGATAATCTTGCTTTTTCATCCTGCATAAAACTTTAGCTTTTTGAATAAACAAAAAGACTCCATGAAACTTACAGTGAGAGAGAAAAACAATACACTCTTATTAAAGACTTAGAAAGGTAGGATATTTTAAAATTCCAGGCTGACATTTGTTTCTAGTGTTTTTCTTTTTTTCAGGCAAAAAAAAAAGAAAGATTCCTTGCAAATACTGGTAGTTCAGTGTTATCCAAATATAGCTTCTTTCCTTAACTGTGAAGAAGGCAAGAAGAAAATTTGGTTAATTTGCATCATATGTAAATTTCCCCAAGTATTTTGTTTAGATTTTGTTTTGGCTTACTGGTAAACAACAATTCCTTTAAAACCAAATCTTGCATCTTATTTGATTTTATTGCCTGGACTCAATTTGTTCCCAAGCCCGTCACCGACTTTCTGTATGACCTTGGGCAAATCACTCTCATAGCTTCTCCAAACCCTTATAATAAAATCAGCCTCCTTGATGCATTAAGGAGATCGGTTACCTAATAAACATGAAATATTTGGGAGTCTTCTGATGAGCAATGGGTGCTCAAGCATTTTCCTTTATTGAATTTATGAGAATAGGGTATCAAAATCAGACTTCACTAGAAAATACAATTTTGTATGTCTTGGAAAATCTCCTCTGAAGTTTCCTCATCTCTTCATTAAAACAATTTCAAAACTGTTTAATTTTTCAACTGTAGTGATTTTGGGCAAAGAACACGAAGAGCTATTTGCAAAAGTTGTTTCTTTACCATTGACAAACTATAATTTTCAAAAGATTTGACCAGTTCAGTTGTGATGGTCAAAATAAAAGGCTCTGAAACATGCAGGGGAAGAGATTTCCACTATGAATTGAATAATCATCCAGCATTCAGTATTGTAGCAAGAAAGAGGCAGATGGAAATAGAAGAACTTATGATTAGATTGAAGGTTTGAGTTATCCTTTCTGTAAAGACTCACAATTAGGGCAATTCTTACAGCTATTCACAGTGTGCTTTCTCTTCACCTCCCTTTTCCTAATGCCTAAAATTTTATAAGCTGTTTAGAACAAAAAATTTTTCTACTTATTTCTACTCCAATGTCTGGAATAAACTCCTGAATTGCCTTATTTCTGTTTAGTGTAAGAAGGAGTCATGGATGGCAGAAGCAAAGATGAAAAGCAATTCGAAACATTCTGCAATTTTTCAAAACCAGAAATCTAACCTGTTTCAGCAAAATGTATGCTTTTATTAAACATAATTACTTTTTTCCCCAGGAAGTGCTCACAAAATATTGCTTTAAACTGATACACTGAGGTTTCAGTTTTACTTTGAAAAGATTATGATCATTTTTGACAGATATTTTTGTTAACATTATTTGGTTACTACATCTCATGAGCACGTAGCTAGTTCCTAGATGCCAACCAACCCTGTAAACTAGAAGGCCACAACAGCATTCTCCTCCTCCAGCTCTCTCAGCAAAGAACCACATGCCCATGCCTTATACACAGATGTGCTTAAATGCTCCCTGTCTCCCCTTGACTTTACTGGTGCTTAGCACTGTTGAAATCAGTCTTCACTATATTTTGTAGTGATTCAGGGTGTCTCAGAAGATAGTAAATAATGGAAAAGTTGTGCTGCAGCCTCCAGGATGGATGAGAGAGACTCCTTTTGCCATTTCAGTGCCACACAGATATCACAGGATTAAGATTTTATTCATTTCATAGGAGAAATCAGTGCTGTACACCTGCCTTTTAGTGCCTATAAAGCTACAAAACACGAGCACCCATGAGCTGAGGTTCAGAATTGGTCAGGACCTGAAAAGAAAACCAAAGGGGCCATGAAAAAGCAGGCACAGGAGTGCTTAAGACAATCATGTTTTTCTAGTGCATCAATCTTTTATGGGCATAATGTGTCTTGTGAGAAGGGAGAAGTATGTTTCTCCAAATGTCACCAGGAATACCTCTTGACTTGAAGGAGCTTCAGAAATACTGGCAGATGTTCATTTTCATGACAAACCTTTGTGATAATAGATGGAAAACAAACACCGTTTAAGCAGATTAGAAACAGATTTCCTCTGTAATGATACATCCTCATTTCTTCACTGTGGGTCTTTATTCTGAGGATCTTAAAAAGGCTGCTAAATACCTGCTCCCATTTTGCATGTGGGACAGCAGATTCGTCCAAAGCAAGTGGAAAGGCTCGGAACAAACCTTTAATTCCCAATCCGGTGACATGAGCACTTCTGCGGGGAGGCTCTATAGAAAGACAAATTTGCACTCCTTTTCCCGTGTTTCTGGTCCCCACTGCCTGGTTCCCGCACACCATATGTGACTCCAGTCGGAAGCTTTTCTCCACATCAAGTTGGGCACTTGTGCAATAAGTCAAATGGCCATGCTGAGAGAAGTTCAGGGTGTGGGATGGGATGTGAGCAACGCTCTTGAGCTTGGCAGTGTTATCAGGAGAGATTTATGATTCAAAGTTTCCTATGCAAATTTCATTTACAATACTAAATTGTCAGGTTTTATTAGGCTGGTGTAGAGGTAATTAAATTTGCTTGTTAACTGATAGACTACTCTCTATCAAAAGACAGCAGCTGGGAGCTGTGGCCATAGTTTCATATTTCCTCCAAATACAGTTCCTGATTTGAACTGACAAATTCTTTACCAAATTCTGACTCCAGGTCATATTTAGAAAATACTAAAAACCACAAAACCCAAGGATGTTCAGAGCTGATTTAGCTCACTGTCACATCCCAAGAGGTGATGGGCTCACACATGTGATCTAGCTCTTCTGCGTCTCTGAGCTCAGTAACAGACCACTAAGTTTTAAGAGAAAGGGTTTTTAAAATAAAGGGTAAGTTAAAAGGATGGCTGTGCACATGGCCAGGCACGCTGTAGAGAGTGAACCTACGTGGAAGCCCGGAGTTGGATAGATGTCCTGTCTCCCCTGCACGGATCTGAGAGACATGACTACGCTGTCCATACTTCTTCCCCCCCCCTCTTACTGCTGCCGAGTGTGAGATGCTGACCGATTTGCTCTCTTCATTGATATTTCTGTCTTTAAGGTCCGTTTTGAAGGATTGTCTGGCAACGTTCAGTTTAACGAGAAGGGACGGAGGACCAACTACACCCTCCATGTGATTGAGATGAAACATGATGGGATCAGGAAGGTAAAGTAGAAAGCGACCTGAGATCCTGTGCAGGCACAAGCCCACTGTTCTAGTTACAATGTGGTTAGGTCTTGTCAGACATTTCTGTTCATGAAAGCTTGCAGGTGGAGTCACCACGAATGAGTTCCCAGCTCTCTGCGTGAGCAAAGGCAAGCACTAGGGAGAACTTATGGTAGGGGTTATCAAGAGCAACAAGGGCATCTCAGCTGTGGGGAAGGGATTTCCAGGACAGGAAAAGCATGGCCAACACAGCCTTGCTATTGGCGGGGCACATTGGCTCAGATACAGCTACACAACTGTCTCTTTTTTGCTCTCCCACTTTTCTTTTCCAAGGATAAGCCAAGGCAGAGCCAGGCAGAAGCTATCTGCACTAACTTGTGTAGATGAACTCTTATGTTGTCTTGAAGTGACAAGACCTTTATCACTAACCATGTCCTGACAGCTAAACAGACATTTGTGCTGCTCTAGAGTCTTGATCCCTTTCTATATCCCAGCACTTTGAAAAATCTGGCCTTGTTCAGGGGTGCCGAGGCCTCGAAACACTAATCCTTTTGAAAATCTGACTCCATGTGCTTATGTCCTACTTTAGATACTACCTATTTGAAGACCAAAGAATAACTCGGTTGCTCTGTCAATAAAGGAGAGCTACTAAATATTTTGGAATGGGCATTCACTGAAATCCCTCTGTATCCCCTCAATTCCCTGAAAAATAAAATACTTTTTTGAAACTAAGAAAAACTGCAAATAGTGAAAGTTCAACATTTACAGCCTCTGTCCCCAATTCATACTTACACCTGAGAGCAGCCAATGGGAGATAGGAGCCCACTGCAGTCAAGCAAAAAAAAAGGCAAATTTCTCATTGAGAAATAAAAGAAGTGTCATTTTGAAGACATACAAAGTGGTCTTCCTCCTCGTGTGGTATTCAGAAGAGGACAACTGTGGTATTACATCCAGTTTGGGGCTCTGAACTTCAAGAAGTTGGCGATCTGGAGAGAGTCTAGAGGAGAAGAAACAGAACGGCTGAATGTCTTGATTTTGCTGTGTACTTACTGACAGAAATTATATTTATTTGGAAGACACATACATCACTGCCATGATGCATATTGTATCTTAGATCCATCAGGTTAGAGGTGCAAACCAAATATATGTGTCTCCATTCCTGTTCCCCTAGGGCAGAGCTTTGGAAGGTCTTTCCTCACTCTCCTTTTTGTCTGTGCAATGAAAAGAGATGAGAAGCCTGTATAGACTTTTCCTCCTGAGCTGGTGTGATCTCTAATCTGCCATCAACAGACTCCTGATCGTGCCCTGTGTTAATACCCTTTCTGATTTACTGTGATGAGAAATTCCTTTCACATGAGCAGAGCTCAGGCAACTTCATGCTTACATGAGGTGATGTAAAACCTCTTATAAAATCAAGCCCTCAAGGTGGATAACCTCAACAATGATCTTCCTAGTGATATTTGGTCACACTCTGCTTTACCTGCAAGCAGGGACAGATCAGCCTAAATCCCCAATTATTAATAAGTACAGCTTAACATGAGAGTTCTTCCCATTACAACTCTTCAGTTTATTTGTAACCCCAAACTTTTTGACATGGGCCAGGGTTGGGGTTCTTTTCTCACTTGATGTTTTGTCCTGTTGTCTCTAGATGTCCTAAGAGCCAGTTCATGCAGGCTTTCGGCTGCAGGATGGCATTTTATCACTCTGTAGCGTCTGGACATGCAGCAGGCATGCTCACCATTAGAAAAATATTCAAAAGTCACACAGAGGAAGTGTGAATTCTTGACATGGGGATGAAGCAGGGAATGGCAATAATCCCCCAGTACCGTGTGCCAAACATTTGTAAGTGCATACAAGCACTCCGCTACTGTAGCGGATCATGCACATTATTTTCAGGCTGGAGGCATGATGGGGTGGGGGTGTTCCTGGTTCCCCCAGGAAAAGACATCAAGAATCAGGAGAGGAGATCTCTGGCTGGGTATGAACGTACAGAGAGAGCTGACTGTGCTTGGATGACCCTGTTATCATATCTTGGTTAATATTACAAAGAGATATCAATGAGATATCCTGGGTTTGTATTTGGCAGATTGGTTATTGGAATGAAGACGAGAAGTTGGTTCCCACAGCCATAGATACTCAAAGTGGCAATGAGTCTACAAGCCTCCAGAACAGGACTTACATAGTCACTACTATCCTAGTAAGTGCTGTGGCTTCTATCTGAGCTCTCCCTCTCTCCTAGCTCCCTGATGTGCAGACTCCCTCTTCCCCCTCATGTGCCCTACATTGTACTGTATCATTTTTATAATAGCAGTAACAATAATAATAATAATAATAACAGCACTTACTGTTTCCTGCCGGGTCCATAAAGGTGTCTGAAAATTGCTGTGGCTAATTAAATAGGTATTAAAGAGCTCTCATGCTTAAGTGTAGAAAATACAAAAGATTATGACAAGATAGTGGAGGCATCAGCATAGGTAAATTAGGAACATTATACCTGTGCTTTGTATTTAGCCCACAGAATGGGGGGTGTAATTTTGGGAAGGATAAGCTGTATTGTGCAGAGAGGTTGAATCATAGCTTTAAAAACAAATCTCCACTATAATCATGCAGGAGTAATAGGTACCCCATAATGTATGGTATCATGTATTGTGTCATTGTGTACACTTACCCTGCAGAAACATGAAATTTTACTAACTTGTTTGTTGAATGCTTACTGTGAGTCTACAGAGAAAACACAATACCCAAACTGAGTTAAATATCTTAAGGCTCTCGCTGTCCAGCAGATTCAACTCTGCCTGTGCCCACATAGGCAAACATGCCTTTAAAAATTTGCAGCTCTGATACACTAAATATCCCTTGCAGAACTACACTGAAAGGTTTGTTGCCCAAATTCCCCCAGTTACTCCATTCCCTCAGGTCCATCACTACAGAAGCTGCATGCAAATTCTGCATGAATAAATAGAAAATGCCACAACAAAAATGACACTTTATACCTTCTAAAATAAGCCCACTGCATGTTGACTGTGCCCTTTGGTACAGCAACACAAAGCTAGAGCTGTGCAAGGGGACCAGAAGCTGCACACCGGGCTATAAAATGTGGAGTGTGGCTCAATATTGGTCTTCTCTGTGCCAGGAAGACCCATATGTGATGCTCAAGAAGAACGCCAACCAGTTTGAAGGCAATGAGAGGTATGAAGGCTACTGTGTGGAGCTCGCTGCTGAGATTGCGAAGCATGTTGGCTACCACTACAGGCTGGAGATTGTCAGAGATGGGAAGTACGGAGCCCGGGACCCTGACACCAAAACGTGGAACGGCATGGTGGGAGAACTCGTTTATGGGGTGAGTTTCCAACCTCATCCATTGTCTTTAGCTCTTGGTACTTGAGAACACATTCAAGCCCTAGAGGAAGAAGGAGCCCTGCCTTCTGTCAGTTGTCTCGAGGACTGCAGCTCTGATAATGCAAATAATCAGCCCAAGTAAAGGATTTTAATTTAGGGAGGGACAGGATCTTTTATGCCTATGGAAATGTCAGAATGTTTCCTTTCAACAGTTCCAGGATTCTTTTTCTTTCCATTTTTGGAAGAACAAGTATTGAAAGGTCAAACTTTCCCATGGGTAGAATTTCCAAATTTTACTCTATTTTGTATTTGCATGATAAGGCAGGATGAAAGAAAGATAAGATTTCAAACACTCAACATACGACCGGTGAACAGTAGGACTAGACTACTTTCTGTCTAGCCACACATTCCCCTCATCTCAGATGTACACCTGCACTCTACTCTTCAAAACCTGGTTCGGTCTGATAGTTCACAATCTGTAGTGTTTAGGTCATCCTTCAGAGGGATCTAATTTTCCTTTAGGGAAAATCAGCGTAGGGAGCATCAGTGCCCAAGTCTCTGTGACACTGTGTTGGAGCGGGGGATGATCTCTCTCCTGCTGGTAGCTCCACAGTATGTGCCGACAGCCATTTCAGTGCATTTCCCTTTCCATTTTCTAGACGGATTGTAAAATAAGTGGAGAGTGCACATCAGTGTCACTGGAACATTTTCCTCTTCTCCTGCATCAGTTATGCAATCAAAAAGCAGTTCCTGATGGAAGTAAACATCCTGGCATCCTTTTTCAAGCAATTGGCCTTTCCTTGCCTCTTTTGATGTCTGGATGATAAAGCTCTTTTAGTGAAAATTATCTGCATCAGACTGTGACATCAGTGGATAAATCAGACAAGAAGAGCTAGGTGGCTGCAAAAAGAAAACGCTGTGATTTCTAAACAGAACTGGTAATCAGTAGTGATAAAATGGAAATAATTAATTTTTTTATTATTATGAGCTTATTATATTAGGAGCTGCTCCTTTTTAACATTTCTCTTGCAATTGGTTCTGTCTGATTTCTTTTGAGATAGCAGGGGTAAACAGATGAAAGGAACTTAAGCTGTAGTTAGAAGATACATTTTATCCCCAGAATGCAAATCTCTTTTTCTCTCTCTCCTTTTCAGAGGGCAGATGTGGCTGTGGCACCATTAACCATCACTCTGGTTCGAGAAGAAGTTATAGACTTTTCCAAACCGTTCATGAGCTTAGGTATCTCTATCATGATAAAAAAACCACAGAAGTCCAAACCAGGAGTTTTTTCCTTTCTGGATCCTTTGGCTTACGAGATATGGATGTGCATTGTTTTTGCCTACATTGGAGTGAGTGTTGTCCTCTTCCTGGTGAGCCGCTTCAGCCCGTATGAGTGGCACACTGAAGAATTCGAGGAAGGACGGGACCAGCCAGCTAATGACCAGACGAATGAGTTTGGGATATTCAACAGTCTCTGGTTCTCCCTAGGAGCTTTCATGCAGCAAGGATGTGATATTTCTCCAAGGTGGGTTGCCTTCCCCAATGAACTCTCTCCCGGTTCATGTGGCTTAATTTTTCTGCATGCTTTGGAGCTGAACAGGTTCTTCTTTGACCTTCCTTCCTGAATGATAGTTTTGCAAATCAGTTACAGATTCAGAAAGAATCCAAGGGTTCACAGGTCTCACAGCCATGAACTTGGGACCTCAAACTTGAAACCATAAAAATACCATTCTAAATTTATCCTGGGGAGTTCTTTCTTGCAGAAATGCAAAAAAGAGTTTCTAAAGCCACCCAGCTGCAATCAATTTTTGTCAGTCCTTTATTTTGTTGCTGTTAGAAACAAGATCATTCTAGCATTATAGGGAAACTATAAAATTCCAGTGAAGTAGGGAGGAAGAACACAGTAGGTGCCCAGTAAAAAGTTATATGGTCTGTGCCAAAGATTATGGAGCACACTGAGTGTCTTTAAGTATTACTGGCCTTTAGAAAGGTCAGAGGAGTACTAAGTTTTCCTTCTGGTTCCCATTTCAGTCAATAGTTCTGCTGCCTGAAAGCTCAGTAGGACCCGAAGTCCAAAGGGACTTTTTGGTGAATGACACTTGTGATTACTTTTAGATCATTTTTCTTGGGAAAATCTGGCACAATGCAAGGTGGCTGAAAAACTGCATGAAATGCAGAAGATGTAAATCTGCAATAGGGACGCAAGCAGAGATTTATTTGTAAACAGCGTCTGGAAATACCTCCTTCATTTTTGAGAGCTATTTTTGCACAAGTCTTACTACAGAGACGTTGCCTACTGCAGGAGCCCATGATACACCTATCTTCTCAATGCCTTGTTCATACAAAGGCGTTCAAACATAAAAACAATTAAAAGCAGGGGAACTAAATAGCCGCAGGTGGGGCTCTGATAGATTTTCTTATTTATTTGCACAAATTATATGTCCAGTAAGTAATGTCTGTAATAACTGAGGGATCTTTCTTGTGGTATGTGTATATTCACATGAGACAGGATCAGAGGGGAGGCAGATATAAGGTTTTTGACACCATTGGTGTTTTGTGTCCAGGGCAGATTTACTTAGGATTTGTGAAGCTGAAAAAGGGTTAACCAGCTATGGCTTGGGGTGTGGATTATATGTACCCATCATTCCCAAGAGGTCAGCTCTGGATGTCGGTTGGAGGGAGAGCATGTGGACAGGACAAGCACCAAAGCTGCTAGACACTGCAGACACAGCTGTCAGTTCACCCTCTCCACAGCTCTGAGAAGCACACTTGTCCCAGTTTAGGCTAAGGACATTTTTGGCCAGGTTTGGCTCAAACCAGAGGTACTGCCAGTCAGAAGAATGAATTTACAGGCAGTAGATTCTATGGTGACATCTGAAGAGATGCTCTGATAAAAGCAGATAGCAAAGAGGCCTTTTGTTCTGTTTTTTCCCCATCCTTCCTTTTTTGGGCTTTGTCTCCCTTCTCTTTAAAGGAAATTCTAGCAGAGATATGTGTCTTGTGAGTGAACACAGTAGGCAGAAGTTAATTTCCTCAGGGGATGCGAAGGAGGCACAACTCCATCAGCAAGCAGAGATAACTCTGTAGCTCGACACAGCTCCCGCGGGATGGTGGGGGGAGGCCAGGCACCAGCTTGTTGGCTATTGGATGCCAATTTGTCCAAATATTAATGAGCTTGGGGTAGCAGGGAAATAAGAGCCTGCAGGGCACTTTGATTGTGACAGCTTTTATGAATATGTTTTATCATCTGATCATTGATTGGTAGGACTCCAGGCGGAGCATTCAGAAAGTCTTCCCAGCAGAGGGGATTTCAAACTTTATTGCTGTCTTATAACACCACCCCATGTGTTAGGATCAGATTATTGTTATTTTCATTCTCATTGTTGTTCTTCTCATCATTAGTCTTATTTAGGAAAGAGAATGTCTTCCTCTGGGGACATTTCAATAGCCAGTTTCTGTTTCAAGGAGGAGCATGGAGAGGTGAAAAGCTGAGACTTTGAGGAATAGCAAATTTGGAAACATCTTTAATAGAAAGTGTCAGGGAAAGATCAGTGGTTTTGATACGAATAACAAGATATGTTCTAGATAAACAACATGCTTTGAATCACCATTTCAAAGTGTTGTTTTATTTTTGCTTTGAAATGGGAAATGAGTATGATTGTCATTGTTATTTTAATGTTGTTAATTTGATCATCCTGATAATGAAAATTATAATTTCATTGAAACCAGTATTTTCCCATGGAGCACAAGAACTCTTTCTTACTACAAATATTTGCAAGAAGAGAAAATCTGAAAAATTAAATATGAGAATTATAATTATAACTCCCTTACTCTGCGTGCAGCTCCTTGAGATGGTTGCAAGTGGAGTGGGACATTTCTGTGAAATGTGAAAGCAAGAAGGAAGCAAAAGAGTGAGAATTTCTGGAGGAAGTTGTTGTACAGGAAGGCTCTGAGCTCGCTCCGTATTTCACATGTATCTTTCACATGAACCTAGTGCAGGATTCCTGTGACACATCACTTAGAAATTAATGCCAGGTGGAACGACACTGTGGGCAAGTGGGGATCTGCTCTATTCCAATATATTTCCTATATGGTTGCTTCTAAACTTATCACTACAACCTCTCAGCATCTCCACAGTAATGTATTAACCAATATAAATAGCTTCTGTTATACATCTGTTCTATCATTCTCTCCTCAGCAGAAAGGATCAAGTGCAGGGGTGTATTTTGTTTTTGTAGAGGTTTTTGGTTGTTTATTTCAGTTTTGTTTGGGAAAGGAGTAGGGGAAATTTGTCTGGAGGTTTGTTTTGTTTTTTTTCCAGAGCATGCTTGTTTTAAGTGCATATGCCACTATGTATTTATCATAAAAAAAAAAGATCAAAACCGCAGACACATCACTCAGCACAGCGGGTGGTGAGGTCTGCAGCAACTCCTTGCTCTTGTAAATGTGCATTCCTCAGTCTCAGACCAGTCCCCAGGGAACTTCAGTCCCCTACAGAGACAAAAATTTGCCTCTGAAGGGAAGTGGGGCCCTTTTTAAGGACAGTCTTACTAGCCAGAACTTTAATCAGGCTTTTAAGCATGCTGGTCACAACCTACCAAGCACTTTAAAGATGCACTGTGAATTTGATGACCTTGGATGGCCAAGACAGAGAACAGCTGTGGCTTACGTGCTCGTAGCTTCTGCTTCTGAGGAGTGAGGCTGCTAGGCATGAGGTTAACCGGTGTCCTTGAAGCTCTGAAGCCTTCATGTCTAGGTATAGACTGGATGAGTGTGACAAAGGCCAGGCAGTGACCAGTAGCCAGAGCAAGTGCTAGTCTGTGTTGTGCCTTTGGATGCTGCCACATGAGCATGAGCAAGGCATTCATACCTCCTAAACCATAAACGGAATGACTCGATTGTAGGTACATAGCTTCAGCCAAAGGAGGCTGTGAGCTCCTGGACATTCCCCACTGGAGTGTGCGGTCCCCCTTCTGCACCATCACTGACCAGTGGTCTAATTTGTCCTGGTTGAGGTGAGGTGGTCCCTGTCATCGTCCTTAATGTCTGTGCTTTCAAAGTACTGGCTGATACACAGCAGAATGGGGGAGAAACATTTTGGAGTTGTGGGTAGTTTCACATACATAGTAACGGGCAGAAATCAGTGAAGTCTGAAACGGGCCATAAACCATCCGGCTTCTCAAAGTGCCACCTTAACTTCAGAAAACAGTCATGAAATTGCAAAAACACTCATTAAATGTGAAATACAGACCCAGAAAGGAGATTTTCAGAGCAGGTATCTGAGGTAATAAATGTCCCACAGCCAACAGCGAGAGCCTGCAGCAAGAGAAATGTGAAGTAAACATGTCTCACATTGTACCATTTTTAAAAAATGTAATTTAATAAATCATCTTCAGAGCTTAAAATAACCCCAGTGTGTAGCAGCTGTGGAGAGCGCGACCTCACTGACATCCAGCACGTTGCTGCCATTCCTTGCTCAGGATGGACACGAGGCCTTTGAGAAGGAGACTGAGGAGATGTCTGGGCTTCCTGACCTCCTCTGCAGCAAAACAAGGCATCTGAATTTTTCATCTGCCCCATCGTTTTTTACAAAATAACTTACCTGATTGTTGTGAAAAGGACAAAAAAGCAGGGAGCAAAATATGTATTTCTCTTGTCAGCTTCCTAGCTTGATCTTCTGTTTTTTGTAATCGCAAAATGTGTTGCTTCATATGGTTTGAGCCCAAAAGAGACTTCCTGTATATTGGAGACTATTAAATTTAATCCAGTTACTCTTCCTGTGACTCAGAAAACTTATGTTTGACTAAAATGAAATATGTTTGGCTAAAATAGATCTTCCAGAAAGGCATTTATTCTTCCTTTGATCCTTTGAAGATAACATGAGATAGAATATTTCTCAGCTCAGTGACTATAGGAGTCTTGTCCCCACTGGAGTTTGACAGGAGGATAAATATCACACAGTATCACCCAGCAGATGTAGCCATTCTTTGTGCTCTGCCAGAGGAAAATTAAAGAGATCTCAAAAAATAAACCCAGCTTCATGGGGGCTCTTTTTGTACTGTGTTGTGGAAACAAAAGAGATATATTTTGGATTCAGATCAAAACATATCATGAGTAGAAGGGAAATGTATAGTCATATCATTACACGATAGGGTATCATGTCACGATACCTGAACAACACAGCTTGAAATTGCTCATTATAATCTGCATGATTGAGAACAGAGCTGAAGATGCCCTGGTCAGTGGGTGCGGGGAAGTGAAATGATGGCTGAAGCTTTCATCACAGCCTGCATCTGGGAGAGAGACAGACTTGAGAGGGAATGTTTTGAGAGCATCAGCGGGATGCCGGAGCAGGAAGAGATTCTGTCCTGGTCTGTGCAAGGTGCCATAAGGGACCACTGCTGGGAAATGGTTGGGCCACAGCAGTGTGCCTAAAGACTGCAGGTGTTTCCTGCGCACAAGGAGACACGGTGCAAGATGCAATCCACCCTTCAGCTGGCTTGGGATGAAGCGTTAAATGGGTCT